TGCATACGTTCGTAGCAATTCAGTCATCGCATTTTCGTAGATTTCACGAAAATCGCAATTCGATGGATTCAGCGATAGCCAAGAATAGCCTTGCTGCTCCCGTATTTCACGAACAACCTGACCCCAGCAAAGCATAAGCATGGTTTTCATATAGTGCACAGTACAACAACAGCACTTAACGCCATAAACACTCAGATAACTCGTGGCCTTAACCGAAATCGCCCTGTGAGAGAACTATTCTAGTAGCGTTGGACCTGTCCAAGGCGTTCGACACCACTGTCAGTCATTCAACGCTTCTAGAATATATAGAGGCCTCCTCACTCCCACAGGTGGTCGGCGAATTACCTGATTACCGCGATTGTCAACAATGTACAGAGCCGCAACAATGTCCTCAAGCCGCTGGCCGGCAGCACTTGGGGCAAAGATAAAGAAACGTTGTTGGCAACATACAAGGCAATTGGCCGACCGGTTCTAAACTATGCAGCACCCGTGTGGTCGCCTGGGACTAGCAGGAGGTAGTGGATGAAGCTACAGACTTGCCAGAACACGACACTACGAACAGCGACTGGATGACTCCTGATGACGTCCCAACATCACCTACACGACGAGGCCCAGATGCTCCCAGTCAAGGAGCATAATACAATGCTCTGCAAGCAGTTCCTTGTGGCGAGTCACAGACGTGGTCATCCCAGCAAACAGCGGCTTGCAGAAGAGCCTTCGCCCAGGCACGTCAGGAGGCATCTCTACGAACTGACGGACGAAGTCCAGAGGTTCATTAAACAAACTGTGGACCCGTCAGCTTATCGACAGGCCCTGAACGGCAGTCACAGGGTGTCAGTCTCGAGTCATGTACCGGACATTGACGAGACGGAGCTTCATCTGCCTCGGAAGACAAAAAACACAATAGCCCAACTTCGCTCTGGCTATGCAGCAGGTTAAACTCATACCTGAACAGACTAAACGCAGATGTACCAAATGAGTGTCCGGCATGCGGAGAGACACCTCATCACTCGAAAAATCTCTTCGTATCCCCGAAAACCCGACAACACTAACGCCTTTGTCCCTGTGGACCGACCGTATTGAGGCTGCACGCTTAGGATTACCGTTAGTGGAACTTGACGACAACGACTGAGATATTAACCGATCTGGGCGGGGTTGTTGTAATCGCTACAACAACAACAGTATTCATGTAACATCTATTACAAATTAATATACATATCGTCGTTTAAAGTACACAACCGCGTATGTAAGGTAGCATAAATTATTTTCTAGAGTAAAAACACTCTCTTTTTTATATAGCACTCGCATTTCTGGCTAGTATATTTCAGGACGAATGCATAAGGCTTGAGCCAAGAGCTTCGGTGAGCAAATCCAATTTTTGTCAAAAAATGTCAGTTAGGCGGTTCTGCAGAAGGACGGTACGCGGTTTTAACCGACAATATGTATATATTTACAAGTCATAATAATGATTAAATTATTATGTATTAAAATACACCTTCAACCAAAATTTGGAAGGCTTAGTACCAAAAACAACGGATAACATGCATCTTTTTAAAAGGCCCTACCTGTTTTTTATACCCATTTTATAATAAGGCCTATGCTGAATATCGCCATCGTCATCGTCGACGATCGTCAGCGCATCAGTAACATGGCTGTCAATGGCCGTATCGCCACTTTTACTGACGATGACGATATTCAACATAGGGCGGAATGTCTTTTGCTTCTCCTGTAAAATTAAATCAATTGTTTGTTAGGGCCTTTTTGAATTAAGATGATGATATGTTAGTTACCGCCAAGAAGGTACATATTTTGAATCTATGGTATTTCAATAGGTGTATGGAATCATAAAAGGTTGTTGTTGTAGCGGCTACAACAACCCCGCCCAGATCGGTTAATATTTCAGTCGTTGTCGTCAAGTTCCACTAACGCAGCCCTAAGCGTGCTGCCGCCATAGTAGGGTCGGTCCACAAGGATAAAGGCGTTAGGGTTGTCGGGTTTTCCGGGCA